ATTTGCACAACTTCTCCTTCTCTTTGTAGTTGAACAAAGTCTTAAGAGGCATCCCATTAAATACATTCAAGGATTAGTACTGAGCCATAACAATGAGCGCAGTAGTGGACACATCCTAGCCCTCAAGACTTCCCACCTAAGAAGATTTTGGCAATTGGTTAGCATTAACATCTTACTTTATTTACTCAATCAAAGACACTAACAAAAACTATCCGTATCCTCGCAACAAACGATTGGTTTAACGAGAGATGAGTTCTTTTAATTGATTCTATATCATTTATTCTACAGTTATAACCAACATTTAATGTTCCGTTTTTAGCTGTGTTAAACTTTTATTATGCATATCTTATTATTTCGATAACACAGAAAATTTTGTTCTTAATCTATAATTGATGATACAATCACAAAATACCTGCAAAGTTTCTATACACTTGGTATGATATCTTGACCCTCAATGCGTCATTAAGATTGGATTAGTTCTCCATTTTTTTCCGAGGCACTGTGACCCACACATCATTCATCTATCTATGACAAAGCCTTATATTCTTATCTTATTATTTTTAAATTCTATTGGATAGCTCATATCAGTCATTATTTTATCTAATTCGATCCACGTTGTCAACGTGCATAAAACCGTAGATTTAGTTTTTGATATTTTATATATAAAAGTAGTAAACCATTTAAACAAAATATAGGAAGTCAATCAAACAAAAAGAAAGAGATATGTATAAAAAAGTCTAGATTTAAAGTGTAAACAGAGTTTTTAAGTAGTTATTTTAGTTTAAAATTTTCTGAACTTCTATCCATCTTAAAGAGCAACAACTAACTTCTTGCCAAAATTTTATTTAAAGCAAAGTTAAACTTTTTAAGAAACAAATTTTTGTCCGTTTTCTTAACACTTAAACATGTTACGGAAACATATTTTCTGCGCTTTTATATTCACTTTGAACTGACATATCCACGAGGACGTCCATATCCCCCAAAACCCATGCACTTCTTCCTACACGAATGTACAGTATGTCTTTGAATGCATACTTTACGGCGTGTAGATATGTGTAAATTGTGTTTCCGAAACTTCAATGCCTCAGAAAGTTTAAGCTACAAATTTTATTGGTCCATTCATGATTAAAATGAACAAAAACAAGAAACAAAGAAAAAATAACCAAGAAAAATTGAAAAAATTGAATTGAAAGGAAAGCGTATACACATAGCAACTTTGACCAACTTTATTTCAACCGGAAACAGGAAGACGTCAACGTTAAAGTTTGTACCAGTTTCCACAACTGACTTTTACAAAAGTTGCGCTCAACTATTGCAACTGCTGCAGCTGCTGCATTTTATTTGCATAAACCATTGTAGGTTTAACTAGTAAAAGTTTATCGTCCCCCCTTGCATTTTATAACTTTACTTATACTTCTTCTAC